ATCTCTGGTCCTCTTAAAGCATTATGGGTAATGCTGCAAATCATCAAACAAAATCTTCTTGTTTTTTAATTGACAAGATTAGATTATGGAAATTAATGCAGTAACCAAGAATTATTCTCAATGGGAAATTTTAGCCATGAAATGTTTCTATTCTCAGGAATAAAAATCACCCATCCATCCTCTTCCACCTATCCAATTAAGGGCCGTAGGTGGGCTGGAGCGTATCCCACCCCTATCCTAGTTATCGTCAAATCCAAAGAAAAAATATTGTGTAATCCGAAGATGTATCAGTTCCAGCTTTTCATATAGGTATGTTTTTTGGTTCTCTCACACTTGTATTCATGTAGAATACCTTCAGGTGTTGAAGTGCTGGTTTGGACAGGATAAGCAGTCTGAACATGAAATCACAACTTTCTTCCTGATATATTTTGAAGGCCAAATAAATAGTCCATTAAGAAAACATCCATTTAAAATAATGGATAATAAAAGGAATGTTAGAAAAAGTATAATAAAATAACTGGAAAATGATGTGAGAAATTAATAAAAGATCTACATATTTGTGCAAAATCTCACTCAAATTCAATATAGGTGCCAAGCAGAAATCACTACAGTTCTAATGACATTTGAGCAAAAGTGATGTAAGTTATCTATATTTCCCAGTCTTATTAAAATGGGAAATGCTCGTAACAAACCAAAAAATCTTCTGCATTTCATTAAGGTCAGACAGCATTGCACAAGTTCACAGGGTGCAACAAAGGGGTTGTTTCTCTGACCTTTTGCGTCATGGGGAAAACTGCTTTGTATGTCAATTTGCTAATGTGTTCAGTGCTTCTACAGGTGAGTGCTATTAAAGCTGAGAAAGCAGGGAAGCTCTCATTGGACATACGATACATGTGACTGTCTGGCATAAAAATGTCTGTGCACTCACAGCAAGAACACAGGATAATGCTGAATATGTGTTTGAGTTCCAGTTAAAGGCCATATGAATACACAGTAGAGTCTGAAATTTCCATTTTCAAGTTAACATGCTCTGTTTAAATGGCATGCAATAACAGAGAGATCAAAACAATTTTGCACTATTCATGTTTGAACTGTATTCATGTTAAGTGAATTAAGGGAGGCTGACAGTTTTATTAGGACTAATACCACAGTGTAATCCAGCCAGTCAACCCTCTCAATGTGTAATCTTCCCTGTAAACCTTCACGAGCAGGTCTCCTTGTATGAAGCTAAAGCCTGTTCCTCGGTATAGCAGTAATCCCACTAAGGCTCTTACAGAAGTGAAATCATTTCAGAATGAAAGGAGAGGCTTTATGACTGCTACTGATTCACTGAGGATGATGATTAATGAATAAACATTTCACAAACTACCTCAAGATCTGTCTCAACCTGCATTCAGGGTCCTCCATGTATCACCTCAGATGTTAGAGGTGAATGCAATCACTCTTTATTAGAAGAGGAGTGTTTCACCTAAACCACAGCTCGAGCTGGGATGTCATGACTCATCCATCCCCCTTTCTCCTCCCCCCTCTTCCTCCTCATATCCCTCCCATACTCACACACCTCCAACAATAACCTAGAGCACATCCTCCAACTTGAATTCATGCCTCGTGATGGGTGGCTGAGGAGTTATTGAGAAATAAAGGTCAAGTCCATTAAGCTGAGGGTCGGCTGTAAGTCACGATCAGCCGGAGAGGGGGTTGGAGTACCTGGTGGCCCATTGATCTTTCATTCTGTACAAGAGACTTTCCGTGTTCACCCCCTAACTATGGGCAGGTACATATGCCAATAGAATGACCCCATATATGTCATTAAGATGGATTTCTCAGTATCACACTCCCAAAGACGCCTCAGTGCAAATCTGACAGCAAATCTAATTCCTGACTCTTCAGCAGGGAGTTTTTAATCAATTCAGTATTCTTCCATGAAGACCAAATGTACAACAGAACACCAATTGAATATGCATGATGGCTCCATCCTGCTCAAGAGCTGCACCACTTCTCTAAAGGACGGATGCGAGCTGATTTGCTTCTCTGACAGCGCCAGATGGGGTGAAATGAGATGGGATTTAATCTCCATCCTTCCACAGAAGCAAAAAAAAAAAAAAAAAAAAAAAAAAAGAAAAAAAAAAAAAAAAGAAAGAAGAAGAAGAAGAAAAAAAGGGCCTGTAACATTCATCATGTCAGTGCAGGCCCAGGCTTGACGCAGCGAGCCAAATATACTGTAAACCATGTTCACGGACACTGTCCTGAGTGTGGGCTTTCATTTACATCATATATCAGTATCTGCATCTCAAACGTTTTCACTATCACTGCATTTTCGTGGGCGATGCGTGTCATTACTCTTGTTGACATAGGACGGTGCATTTACAAATTAAACCTGCCCCAGATGATTATGAGCAATCCCGGAGAGAACAGCAGCTGAATGAGAGCGAATGATAATAATATTAAAAATACATTTTGTCCTCTTCGCCATTCAGTGAACGAAACAAACAAACAAAAATTCAGCTGGCAGAGATAAAAGACTCAGACTGTTTTGCTCTTACCTCGACGTTTTTCCGCACGCATAATGACAATACAGCCATCAATATAGGTATTGCAGTATGTCCCATTTTCTCGCCTTCCTCTGCCTCTTTTTTATGACGAAGTTGCTGCTATATAATAACTGAGTCCAGCATAAGCTGTCTGGTTACATCGGCTGAAGTGATGGACACTGCCTTTTCCTATATATCTCCTGCGTCTTCCTCCTGTTCGCTCGTCTTGCCGACGGGTTCTCCAATGGCAGCCTGGGCTTTTATGTGGATGAAGTCTGACAGAACCAAGCCCTGTTTCTGCGGGTATTTATCACACAGGCTACTCCTGGCGTCCTCGCTGTGGCTTAGTGCAGAGAGACATCTGGTGGGGATGAGCTGAAAATGCAACCGCTCACTTTCTGTGTCACATTTAAAGTATGTGTGAGTTGGGGGGGGGGGGGGAATTCACGTAGTTCATGTCTTAACCTGTGGTCCTACTGCTGTTTCAGCTGAAGACAAAGCAAGCTGACTTGTCATGTAGAGAGTAATCTTGCAGGTGATTCACTGAATAACTCTTAAGGCGCCTAGTTAACTGATTCAACTGCATGCAAATTTATTTACAATGATTTTTAAAAATGTATTTATTAGTTATTGCATTCATATGTTACCAGTAATTTACAAGCAAATATACATTCACTGATCTTGAGCTAACTGTCACTTTTCTTTAAATCACATTCCTTCAATGGAAACATACTTTTGGAGGACATTTAAGTGGATATGAGCACTCTTAATAATACATTTGCAGCTATTGTTCCACTGCTATAAGTCTGCCTCAGCAACACATTGTTGCTAAGCAGCACTGTGACAGTGGGAAATGTCAATTTCAGAAGTCATATTGTTAGCCTGAGTAAAGAAGGTCTTTCTCGCCATCACACCATGACAGGAAGCATCCATCCCTCAAACCATCCATCCATCCATCCATCCATCCATCCATCCAGGCAACCACTGACACTCACATTCACATCTAGGGGCACATTACAATCACCACTTAATCTAATGTGTATGTCTTAAGAGAAAACTGGAGTACCTTAAGAAAATCCAGGCAGGCACATACAAAGCCCACACAGAAAGGCCCCAGCTGGTGGATTCAAACCCAGGACTTTCTTGCTGCAATACCCATAAAGGTGTAAACACCCTGGTTTGTGAAAAGCAAACAGTAGTATCCAAAGGTTGACCAAGAGTGAGAGCACCATCAGAAGATCAGTCCACTGAGAAACAAAGAAGCAACCTCACGCTCAAGAGTTAAAGCAGCAAAGGTCTTATCAAAAGATCATCACCTAATACGTATTTGTATTTTCTTCCTCAGGAAGGAAGTACAAATCTAAAAACCACGTGTATGTACCAGCAATTAACAACACAATATCATTAGCAGGCCAGTGAGAAAAAAAGTTGTTTTGGGTTTTTTTAAGATGGCTGGATTACAATAAATTGTCTGAGACAAATTAATTTGTCAAATAATGCCAAATTTATTTGCCAAATAATGATGTGGCACACCAAAAGGTGGTGGTGGGATTTAATTATTATAAAATCTGGTAGGGGTTTACACGCTCTCCTCCATTCAGAGAAATGCCTCGTGCAGGATAGTGAGCTCAAGCTACCTTAAGACCAAAGAAGAGTAAGCAGTGCTGGCTCCCGTGGTCTTTCCTAATCATTTACCTGACCTGAACCTCACTGATCATTTATGTAAGCAAAGCATTCCTGACAACACTAAAGGATCTTTGGAGGATTGCCAGACCTATTCAGTCAGTGCCATTCATGTCCATGTTGTTACTGCAAAGGTCGTAGTAAAGGTCTTGAATTTTTGTACTTGCTATTATTATTATTATTGTTGTTGTTGTTGTTGTTGTTGTTGTTGTTGTTGTTGTTGTTGTTGTTGTTGCTGCTGCTGCTGTTTTTGTTGCAACAGGAGTGGGGCTAAGTACTAAAATAATTTAATCAGTAAACAAATAGAGTTATTAAACATCAAAGTATTGCTGTCAAAATGATAAAACATCACAAAAATAAAAACCTCAGTTCATTCATTCTAAATGAAAGCCTGTATGCTGAGTGTAGTACAAAAACTAACATACTATATTTTGAAATAATGCAACAGAGTTAATACTCTGTAAACAGTCCACATGAATGCATAATGGTACAAGCTTTTTATGAAAAATCTTTAGATTTTTTTAATACTTGGCAGCAACCTCCCTAAATGGTCAGCAGGGGGAACACATGTCTTGAAAATAAAGAAATAAAAGCTTCCTCTTACAGTAAGTCCCCAAACAGAAAAGCAGCTGGTTTAACAAAATGTTAGTTTGTACTCCCGGACAGCATATAGGGGCAGTTATAAGTTAAATCGCTCTACATCAGGTGGGCTTTCTTTTTTGGGTGGGGACAGGACCTACAGGTGTTTGGGGGCGTGGCTTGTGTTATGGGCGTGTGAGGAAAAAAAAGTCGGTTTCAGGTGTTTCAGCATTCCCAGACGACTCAGGAAGTGAGTGCTGAAGCTTTGATTCGTTGTCAAGAAGCTACAAGATTTACTTATTTACTTTTTACTGAACACTACAGCTTCAAGGTCCGAACCTCTGCTGAATTTTTGTGAAGGAGAACAAACTAACAAGCTACAGAAAACAAAAAGGGTTGTCTCGATCCCGTGGGACTTCTCTTGGATCCTTCTTTGAAGATGCATTCCGCCAGATATGGGAAAGATGTAAGTTTTGTACAACTTGATATGCGAGTCTTTATTTGTTTATTTATTTATTTATTAAGTCTTGGGTATCAGCATTACCTCGGTGTTTCCTGTTTGGACACGCTCACAGTCGCACAGATCTTCTGAAGTTAGATCTGCTGCTGACAGGCTCTTTGTGGGCCGTGTCCACGACAAGAAGAGGCACTAATACATCTCTGCAAAATGTAACCCTTGATCCTCGTATATTTAGCACCTGACAGCGATTCTGCTAAATCTAGTCTTAAATGACTCTTGTTTCTAGGCCTCGCCCACCTTGCGACGTGATGTCCCCTCATCATAATGAATGGATAAACTGAGACTTCTTGAGTAGAAAATGGGTCCTTCTCCGTTTTTTATTTTGGACAAAGTGTCCAAAAGTTTGAAGTGTTTGACATGTTATTAAGGCAAACAAACAGCTTTTCAGCTTTTTACAAATAAAATTTGCATCTTTTAGGCAGGTTTAGTGTAATATCAGATCAACTATTAATGATTAATTATAAAGCCTGTGAGCTGTTTCCGGTTACCACCTGAGAAGAGTTGTTTTCTGTTCCTGCAGTAAGAGGAAGTGAAACTGAGATGGTCTCAGACAGTCTGTTACTAGAAGTTTGACTGAATGTCATTTACATCTTTGAATCAAAAAAATCTAAACTGTAGATTGCCCCCAATCCAGAAACCTGGGTAGCCTGTGCTGGCAGAGAGGCCCTGAGATTTTCTCTTAGAAGCACACACATTTCTAAGAAACTATTCTAATATCCAGAGCAGCGTCACATTTCCAGTGATTTCTCAGCAAAAAGGTGTGGTGTGGCTTTTGGAGAATGGAGGCTGGTGGATGAGCAGGACTTTTTTGACAATAAAGTTATTATTGTTGGCATTAAAAGCTTTTTACTGAACAATATTTACTCAGGCTTGCATGTTCAGTGCTAATAGGATGAGAAAACTGCCGAGAGCGTTCTTTGCCCAACCTACAGGTCAAATTTTCCAGGAACATGCATACATTATTTAAATGTCCATACCATTCTACTTATTTCATACGGTAATTCAGTCTTGTTTAAGACTCTGTGCATTAGCAGTGCATCATGTGGGTGGAAAGAAAAGTGACAGACAGCCAAAGGTCAATTTCTCTTAGCAAAGGGATTCATTAATGGTTTCAAGGCTTTGGTCAGTGCTGCTTAAAACTACTAGCACTTCAACTTCTCAGCTTAGTGAGAAACGTTCAAACTTCCAAGCAAGTTCACTGTGTGGTGTAGTGTGAATAAATAACAGGAACTATATATTGAAAGACATTAAGAAAGAGCTAACTAATAATGGGTTGAAATATCTCCAGTACCATCGTGTAGGTTGAGGATGCTCTCAATACATAGCATTTGACCCAAGTAAGTGGAAGAGTGTTTTGTGACTCAATCTCTGACTTCTACTAAGACACAGAAAAATACTACCTTTTATATGAATTCTGAAATGTTACGCATATCTACAAGACTCAAAAGCAAATGCTATAGCACAAGAAGTTGTTGTAGATAGTAAACCTGCGCACATCTGTATGAACACGTTCAGTAGTTGTCCAGCCTTGATCATAAAGATGGTAAAAAATGCATCCAGTCCTTTAGGGTTTCTTAAAGTTGTGGCAAAATTTGAAATCTACAAAAGCTTTTAATGTTTCTAAATTTAAAAGTGTGCATATTGAAATGTGATAAATCAAAATCAGTTATTGTAAATGTGTACTTGTAGTTCATTTGCAACTGCAGAATTACTACATTGTCACATGTGGCCTCTTATCGTTACTATATTTACCACCACCTCACTGCCTGACCTATTTCCTTTTCCGATGTGGTGTAAAAACATACTCAAGTAACTCAGAACCTCTCTGACATGTATACATGCTCAGTTGGGGATAGATAGATAGATAGATAGATGGATGGATGGATGCATTAAACCCAAGAAGAAATCTTTTAAATGCAGAGCCACAGAGCTGACTGCCACACCTTACCTTTTTAATCTTAAAGCTATGACAGACTGTTGCTTGAACGAAACTGTTGTTGCATAGTTTCCCCAAGTTCTTTTTTCTTTTTTTTAAAGATTTGATTACTCACAATGAAGTCGATCTTAGATACTGGATCAAATGGGAATACTGTGATTAATGCACTCTGCCTGCTGTTTGTGTGGTGACTCAGCAGAGTTGGTAAATAATTCTTCAAGCAAGGCCGTGCTGCCTTTTCCTCTGTTTCGGCCTACATTTCAAATCCGCCATGTTAAAACTTAGCAACAAACGTGACGGGAACGCGGTGATGATGTCAAATCTTATGTTGACTTCACCGAGTGGTACATCACTGTTAACGCTGACAAAACTGGAGACGGCTTAAATCTTACACTGTCTTAAATGCGGTCAGTAATGTTCAGCCTGACAGACTTTATTGCATAATTCAGCTTTAGCCAGCGTCTGCATCTTTGGGTACAGAATGTGCCAGTGGGCACGACCTGATATATTGTTCTTCCTTCAGCACTGGGCAAGATGCAGTAAGGGATGATTTGTTGAATTATCTGTTCCCAACCTTCTGCCTGGTTCAACATTTTTCCCACTGTATGCTTGGAGCTATTGTCAGGTGAGAAATGTGTGTAGGCGTCTGCTCACTAAAACTTAATGACATCGCTGCAGTCTGTATTGTGCTGATTGGCTCTAGTGGTTGCCATACCAAAGGCATATAAGGTAAAGCCATCATTTTTAGACAGAAGCGTGTTTATGGATTTTAAGGTTAACTACTGCATATGTTTAACAAGCTGCATAAAGCCTGCTGTGGCTCCAGAGGGAGCTCGGAAAAAAATCTGCATTAATTGATGTCACTTAGGTCACCATCTAGTGAGACTACACACTAGTTTTACAGAGAAAAGTCTGGGTGTCTGGAGTTAAAAACAAGTGGCCAGCCTGTCCTCGTCTCTGCCCGAGGCGATCAGCTAGAGGCTGTATTAGCTGCTGCTATCATAACGCAATGGATCTGCATTGTGCGTGTAATGTAGCCTCTAGGGCTGTGCAAGGGAAAAATACAGAAGAAAAATTTTTGGATTTTAGTCTATTGATTTTGATATATAAATTGTCCCTCAGTAGTCTAACAATGGTATGGCAGTACAATACTTGGCCTCTTGTGAGCTTTGTATCATTGTGGAGCTGTGACTCTGCAGCCCCCAAAAAACTTCAGAAAGTCCACGTCTAAGAAATGCACAGGGCTACACTTGAGTTAAAAGAACAGAACAAGGGCATCGCTGTCCTTGTTTTGTTTTTTTTCTTTTAAATATCTGATAGGATTGCACAGAATACCAGGTGGCACCTATGTGAGCAAACACTGGTGTAGAAACATGGCAGCTTGCATGTTGCTCAAATTTTGTTCACACCCGTCTAAGAGTCTTAAAGGATCAGTGGGTGTGTATAAGTGTGTATCTGGAAACGTGTAGTACTTTAAAAAATGTTTTTAATGTCAGATGTTTAGATTTGTTATGGTACCACAAGTTTTATTTTTATTTTTATTTTTTATTTTTATTTATATTTTTTATTTTTATTTATATTTTTTATTTATATTTATATTTATGTATATGTGTGTGTGTGTGTGTGTGTATATATATATGGCTTTGCATGTCATCATTTAAACGACACCATCTGTAACCACTTAGCAGTTCCCTTTGGCTGTGGCTTAAATGTCAACTGTGTCAGTTCTGTGTTCCTCCTTCACTAGTGGTGGTTGACTACCGCAAATTGCGTAACATTTGTCTTTGTCTTTCTTAGCAATTTATTATTATAGTCGTTAGATAAACGATTTTGTCAAAAATGAAGATGTATAGAGTCCTTTAAAAAAAACAATCAAGTGAAATGGTAGTATCTCAAAGTATAAGAAACTGCTTTTGAATATACTAAAAAAAACACAGTTAAAAGCTCACAAGTAAGCTTTGAGGCCACACCTCATGGTTGAACTTTCCTGCTTGTAAGACTGGTTAGACGACAAAGACGCGCTCAGTGACTACTGCACCCATGTGGTGAACCAGATTGATTTCTTGTTAACCATTAACAACTTTTTAAGTTTGAAGCCAGTGGTGTAATGGAGTTTGGTGTAGGTGTAGACAACCTGTCCTTGAGCAACACACCATATGCAGCTCCAAAGTCATGAAACTTGAAACACTGGGGGCAATGGTTTAGATCTTCATTAGATGACTGCACTGCTTTAAAGTTAATTTGGGGCTAAAGAAAAAAAAAAGACTGCGCTTTGTTAAAAGGTGTTTGCTTCTT